TCCCAAAGAGTTCCATTTTCGAATTCCATTATTGTTCTTTTATTACTTTATTGTAAGTGGCCAAAAACTTGAAACAAACCCTATACCAACCCGTCTGGCCAGCGTGGTATAGTAGGCCAAAACCTCCTTTCTAAGGAGAGGCGTATGTCCAGCAGTGGACTATTATAGGCTCTTGATGATGATGATGAAGTCTCCAAATCCAGAGACTTTCAGTGCCCCCCACGTACCATAAAAAAACTAGACAAGAGGTAGAGAAGGAAAATTCAATTTGTAATTTAGATTATTGTTGCGCCATAGGATTAAATGGTTCGATTGTATGGAATATGGAGGACAGCGCCATCTAGTTTCGACTCAAATACATATATGATATGATTATGGTTCATACGAGTAGTTCTGATCCATACAGCGCTAGATGGCGCTGCAAGTAACGAGTGTCTGATTCTGGAATATTCTTGTTGTCTGGAACGGACTATCGATCTTTCTAGTAAAATTCAAAAGCGCTATAAAAACGGAGCGTGTTGGCCGTTTGGGACACTATCGTTTTACGACATAGCGAATTAACATCGGAGTGAATTTCTAGTGCCACTAACGGGATATATAGTGATTTCTGGTTTATTATAGTGAGTGTTTGTAAATACAGCGAAATAAATAAATTAACCGACAACTTTTATTTATTATATACCCCGCTCGTAACACTATTAACTTAGTTGTAAAATAAATTACTTGATTATCGAATAATTATGATAGATAAACAAACAAAAAATTCTATCTTCAATTCTTAGTATTGGCTATTTACTTTAAGTTGTAACGTCTCTCCAAAACTTACGAGTTAAGTTGACAAAAGGCTACCAGTATTTTGTCAACTTTATCGGTTAGTTTCGAAAGAATAAACAAGTCAATTTTCCTCAATCTCGTGGTATTAACATCATTTACTATAGAGCAGAACTAAGTTAAAGTGTAGAGATGTAGAGCTCAGAAGAGTATCAGCTTTTTACCTCTTTTCTAGGTGCCACTCGCAATTAAAACGAATCTAATTATTACTCTAAATGTAAATACATCAATCCGTTTAAACTATAGAATGTGCGTAACCAAAATACATTCGAAAAATATAACCCTCCTATTGTCGCAGTCGGAAAAAGCAAGTTAATCGTAGAAAATCAATGTTTTTGCGCAAATGGGACGACACGTGGTATACTCGTACATCTTCGGTTGAGCCGTCCCACCGCCACTTTGGTTTTCACTGAGGGTATTCACATACCCTCAGTAAATACCATAAAAATTTGCTTAGATTATATACATTTTTGTAAGAAACTTATGAAACAGTTTTGAAATTTCCTCTTTTAACATACGCACTGTAAATCTTAATGCAAAATCCATCAATCCATCCGTTAAGGCTTTAGATAAAATACATACAAACATACACTCGAACACTGACTGCACGGATGTCTACTGCGTTGAGTGTTGTGGGTTCGATCACCACATGGGACAACACTTTGTGTGATCCGCAAATTGTTGTCCTAAGTCCGGGTGCACTTTATGTTCGCTTCATGAATGTCTGTAAAGTCTCCCGTGGTACAGAATAAATTCCTAGTGCGAGAATTGTGTTTCTAAAAGAAAGAAGAAATAACAAATACATAACCCTCTTTCTAATCCAGTCGGATAAACAACATTCAAACGCTATGATTATTAATGTTTATTTCTTCAGCTGTTGATAAGCGTTATCACGATTGTTTATTTTTGATTTTATTGTAACAATGATTTTATTCATAAGTTATCAGTTTAGTCCTATGGTATATTTGTACTTCACAAGCACGCGTAAACAAGTCAAAGTTGTCTAAACTGTCATATCGACTAAAATCCTAACATGATTCATTACCGAAGGTCCCTAACACCTCTCCAGCTGAGTCTGTTGGGGGAGACAAAGAGCGGTAACTCTTGAATTACAGATTTCTGTAGGTAATCGCTTACCAACAACATTAATACCATCAATTCAAATGCACGGATGGCGTAGCGATTTCAGCGGTCGTCACGCCGCTTCCTACTGCGTTGAATGTTGTTAGATCCCCACATGGAACAACACTTTTTGTGATCCACTAATTGTTTAGAGTCTGAGTGTTCTTTGTGTCTGTTTCATGTATGTTTGTAAAGTCTTGTTGTCTTGTTAAAAACAAGAAAAGAAACAGGATTAAAATTGCGGGTGAAGGTGTTTTTTTTTTATCTATCACTTAACTCCTTTATATAAACAGGGCATTATTCATTGCCTCACAAACTCTTTTTAATTATTTTTATTATTTTTTTAATTGTTTGTTTTAATAAAAATCTCTGTTGTTTTATTCAAAATCTGATTAATCTCACCTCTGTCAAAAATGGTAAAATTTATTAATATGTTATAATTTATTAACTGTTATTGTAATTTAGTTCACAAACTTGGTCTAGATATTATATTAATTTAGGCAACTATCATCTCTGTAAGTACATAGAAATATGTTTAGTCCTAACATGTAAAAGGTTGTTTATTCTTAAATAGAAGAAAATTAAAAGTAAATCAGCCTTGCCCAAAAACCAGACCACGCAACGAGCCCACTGTATAAAAGCCGGCAATAAAATAAACTAAAATTCCTTTTAATGTTACGTCGCGCTGCCGGGTAAATATTCGTTCTTTTTAATTCGTTAGTTGTCTGCGTCATTAACCTCTTGCAGTAATTAAATTCTAAAATACTCGTACTTAATTATTTAATTTAAGCATTTGACATAATGACAAGAATTTAAATATACTCGTAAATGGTTTATTTTCAAAGATTATTATGTTGCGCGAAGAATTCTGGTCCCATAAAAATCTATATTTATTCATAGCATTTGGAACGAAGTTCCTTATCGCGCGTTGTGAAAGGGGGCTAGACGGAAAAAATCTCACGAAGAGTTGTAACGACACTTTTTATGTCAGTCATTCAGCGCCATCTATCGAACAGATAGGAAATTATTACTTTCATCTTAGTATTTATTTTGAATTGTCACTTGTCAGTCATTCAGCGCCATCTATCGAATAGATAGGAAATTATTACTTTCATCTTAGTATTTATTTTGAATTGTCACTTGTCAGTCATTCAGCGACATCTATCGAATAGACAGGAAATCATTTCTCAAGGAGTTTTTACCAATGTACCTATAAATTGTTTTAATTAGAAACCAACTGAAAAATATGTAGGTAATAGCTGCTTTCATAGATGGCGTTGTAATTAAAATCGTGTCGAATCAGTTTTACTCCATCGTCACAACTTCGTTCCTATCGGGTGTCCCACGACACCACACGGCTTTTTTACATACATATACAGTCTTTTTCAACATACCCTACATAAGAATAATTATTTCTACTAATATATAAATGAACATACTACATTTATCGATCCAGTTATAAAACTAAATTCTTACCGACATCATAACTAGTAGTTACGTTATAAAAATGTTTGTCATAATTGTGTTTACTACTGTACTGTACTGGTTATTATAAAAGGTAAGTTCTTGGTTTATCTGTAACTAGTATTTTACATACACTCACGCCTATCATATCACCAAAGGGATAAGCTGGGGCGTTTAATACGCCCCAGCTAATCCCACATCTTGCTGGAAATCATTTTGACTCAGTGTTTGTAGACCTTTTTAAAAAACACAATTCTGTGGTACATTATATTGAATTATCTCGAAAGTTTTAGCCAGCGTTTACAATGTAAGCGAACCAAACAAGTTTTTTACGACATCACACTACAAATCTTTGAAATTCTCGGATTTTCTCTTTTATAATATGCATGTACACATTGTACACATCATTAATCCTTCGAGCTGTTTCTGCAGCACTGGTGCAACGGTAGAACTCGTACTCGTAAATATACCGATATTTCATGTTTTCCATTGTGCGGTAATAAACGACGCCAAAGAAAAAATAATGAGGATAAAACAAATGAATGACTGTTTTCAAAACTCAAATGTACCAGCTAAATTAATTTATAAATTTAAATTTTTAATCCAAGAGGAGATATTACAGATCAAAGTGGCCAGTACGACAAAACGCTAATTTCATATGTAAGGACCTAATATTCTACATATAAATCTTCCGCTTGAATCATTCTCTCTATTGGTGGAAACCACATTAAAATCCGTAGTGTAGTTTAAAAGATCTAAGCGTACAAGGAAAAGTAACTTTTTCTCTTAGGCTCTCATCGTGATTTCTCTCAGGCTCTGTTTAGGCCTAGTTTGCAAAAATGTCATATGATAAACATCTCCGATCGGCTCGATCCCTTGGCGTTGCGTAGAGATGTGGCTTAACTCTGCATTCAATGGACGGAATCGTATTTGTGACTCTTGACCTGCAGATATCCTTAGGCGTCGAAAGTCACTAACCGTCAGGTGATGGGTCACTTTCCAATTATCGGCTTATTACAATTTATTGTGGTTTTGAAATCGATGTTATTTTTATAACAGTTAATTTTATCTTATATACTTTTAATAAAAGAGTAGAAAAAGGTTCTGTACAAAGAGTTTTTTTGACTCAGATCACATCAACAGCCACAGCTGGACATAGGCCTCTTCTTAGAAAGGAGGTTTTGGCCTACTATAACACGCTGGCCAGACGGATTGGTGTAGGGGTTGTTTCAAGTTTCCTTCTTTTTGCAACACTGTTGTCTGCAGTTTGCTCCCTCAGTCGGCTCTTACGACCACCCTATTCTTAATCCGTCACCACACGGATTAAATTGGACTCAGATAAACAACTATAACAATAGAAAAGAAAAAAACTAACCTCCGATTATACTAGTGTACATAGAATATGCTGACATTGGCTCTCTGAACGAATATCTGATAGTGGAGAGCAAAGGGCTGGGTCTTATCGTTTCCCCAAAAGATTACTCCTATTTATAAATGTAAATAAGCATTGAAACTATCAATGAATTACACCATTTGTACACCAGTCGCAAAATCAGATTCAAAGCGTTTACGTGTGTCTTAATATGTTAAATATTATTGCGTGTGTTGTGTTGCTCTCAAGTGTATCTGGTGGGTTTTATTCATAGTTATTGAAAGGTGTGGTAATATTAAGGGCGTGTTGGTGTAGTAGTTAGTGATACGGACTGCCAAACCAGAGGTAGTGGGTTCGATTCAGTCAAAGATCATTCTTTCTGTGCTTGGGTGTTATTTAATGTGAATTTTCGAGATAAAATCGTCAATTTTAAAATAAAAGGTTTATTTATTAATGGTTAAACAGATAAAAGGAATATTTGATGTTTGATAAGAAAAAACACAGTTAATATTATTTATTCAAGCCAATAGCTACTTGAATAAATATTATATTAAATGCTTCACAATGAAATGGTGGATCCAGCTGATATATATTCAATTTATATTGTATTTATAGGAGGCGCTGAATGCAGGGCTGCAAGCGACCAGACCAAGCAGAACTGTGAGCAAAATGGTAATATCTCAATTTTCAAACTTCTTATAGTAACAGGTACCGTTTGACAGTTCTGACACATTAAAGAATAGAGATGGATCCGATTCTTAAGAGATATCGATATCATTTCTTTGTATTCACTAATCAATTGCAGTTTTACAGATTTATGTATTTTGGTATAAAAGCCCGTGTAATGGCATATCATAGATTTTACTAGTAAATCTTAGTATATACTACATACTCAGGACATACTTTTAATTTTAATTATGCGTTTTCGTTGACAGTTGGATGCCAGATGAATTTTAAGTATTAGTATATAAATTCGATTTTGCGTACATTTTAACGATTATTTTTATACAAGTGGTTTTGAAGAGCCACAATACTGGTAAAAAATCTAACTACCTGACTTTAAAACGAAGTCTGAAAAAAAAAACATCTGTTGATGATGATTTAAATTTAGTCATTAAGAATTGTACGTCATTCAGTTTTGACTTTATAAAAGAAAAAGGTGTGTGTGCGATTCACACACGATAGAAGTGAAACTTCAAAGAGGAGAGACCGATATTTAAAATTTTTTTTTTACCTTTCATCTAGGTTTTTAAAACTCCGGGGGGTCTATGGGGGGGTCAAAATTATTGTTATTTTTGGCTTAGGACGCACCGTTTCCGAGATATTTCAATCTAAAGCAAAAAATCGTCTCTTGATAGTGGAAAGTGGAAACACGCACAAAACCAGAATAAACCAGTTTACGCTGTCCGCTACCATACACTACTACAAACGCAAAAATTTCTCCAAGCTAATTTATCTGTAATCATGTAATAAAATAAAAGTAGCTTCATAATTCCATGGTTTTATGGGCAAAAGTTACTGAAATTGTGTGAGACTCAACCACACTTTACTTTGTATAGGCGTACCTATACAAAGTAAAGTGTGGTTGAGTATTATATGTTGGAATCGAACCCATACTAGTTGAGCGAACTAACTAACAATCTCTTTAAATACGAATTATTAAAATAAAAATTGTATGAAAACATGTGCTTTTTAACAATGTATTTAATACCTTACACATCGACGTATTTAGATAAAACTTTATTAGAAAAACAATATATTAAAAACATAAAAAAGTACACATTAAGGGGCGTGAGGGGGATTGCTTGTATCTTATGTCAACATGACAAAGTCTCTATTCATCACATCATCACATCAACAGCCTTTAATAGTCCACTGCTGGACATAGGCCTCTCCTTAGAAAGGAGGTTTTGGCCTACTATACCACGCTGGCCACGCGGGTTGGTGTAGGGTTTGTGTCAAGTTTTCCTTCTCTTTGCAGTGCTGTTGCCCTGCGTAGTTTGCTCCCTTAGTCGGCTCTTACGACACCCACGGGATGAATTGGGGTAGTGACACTCCGTATTCTTAATCCGTCACTACACTACGAGTCTCTATTACATCCGACAAACTTTTTCATTTTATAAATCGACTTAAAAAACGGAGGTTCGACTGTATTTTTTCTCAGACCTCCATCCTTTATTAAACCAATTTGGAAAAAATATCTCTCATTTGAAAGGGTCACGTTTAGTCTCATTCAAGTTTTGTTGAAAAAAAATCACATCTAGCGGCAAAAATTTACTAGATGTGGTCGCTTAAAGAAAGAGTTATTTATTTAAATACAATTTTCGTGTCACAATGTTCGTTCCCGTACTCCTCCGAAACGGCTTGACCGATTCTCATGAAATTTTGTGTGCACATTGGGTAGGTCTGAGAATCGGCCAACATCTATTTTTCATACCCCTAAATGGTAAGGGTGACCCATCCCTATTTTTTTTTGTTTTGCAATACAACGTTTGCCGGGTCAGCTAGTTTATTTATAAAATATTCTTTATTTCCTTAATTTCACAGGCTACGAACAGTATGACACGGGTTGCTACAAGCTACACGACAGATTAGTTACATGGGATGCTGCGAAAGCCTCGTGTGCCGCAGAAGGGGCTTTCTTAGTGATTATCAATGACAAGACCGAAGCAGAAATCGTGTCTGATATTACTAAGGATTCTTCCTATAGTTATGACTGGGTTGGACTCCGAGATGAAAGTGGAAATGGTGACTGGCACAGTGTTCGTGGTGAGCAAATTCAAATAGTTCTTTTAAACATTTCTATCTTGTAAATAGTCGGACGGCGTGTCACCAACCCTGTTTATCCCGTGGGTGTTATAAGAGCCGACTAAGGGAGGAAACTATACAGGACAACAGCGCTGCATAGAAAACTTGAAACAAACCCTATAGCAACCTGTCTGGCCAGAGTTTTAAAGTAGACCAAAACCTCCTTTCTAATTAGAGGCCTATGTCCAGCAATAGACTGTTAAAGACGTTTGCTGGACATAGGCCTAGGGCTGTCACTAAACACAGAAGACCAACAGGCCCGTCGATATCACATATACATAATTATAAAAACTGTTTCCTATGACTCTCAGAAAAGATTTACCATAACTGATTTCCACTTTCTCTTTTTTCAGGCGATCGTATAAATAACTTATACAATATATGGGTCGAATCTGACCCTCAAAAATATAAGTGTGGCGCTCTGAAATACTCGGGCAAGTTGGATGACGTTCCTTGTACCAATGAGTATTCCTTCGTCTGTGAAAAATAGTTTAAAACAGTTTATAAATCATATAATGTAAGAAATTAGGATTATTAAAGATATATCACACTGTAAGCATGAAGTTTTTCTGGTCTGGGAGAAAAAGAAATCTCTTAGGATATAGAAGTGGTGGGTTTGGATTTTGACGTGACAACGTCTTATAATTCGATGGAGCCGGGTGCACGCACGAAAAAACATGACTCATGCGGCGTTACCTCGCTCTGAGGCGTTCCATTTAAGGCGTGAAGTGCAAGCGAGAGCGCGGAACGAGTGACAAAGAGGCACAATCGGCCTCCGCGTTCGGCAGCGTTCGACATCTGTCTCTCTCCTACTTGAGTGAGCGATGCGTCCGCGTGGACAGCTGCTACTCGTATACAATAATACATTTTTGAAAAAATCAGTATTTTCTTATGACGTTGTCACGTTCAACTATCGTCAGTAAACCGACTTTACAGACAACCGATTTTTAAATACATTTCGTAATAAATTGGTGATATAGTCAGCCAAGTTCAAAGACTATGTAGCCTATACTACAAAAGAGACTCAGAGATATTGCAAAAAGAGATCTGTAACAGTCCATGTCTATACTACTAAGAGTTTTGGGAGGGGCCCAACGGTGATCCTCACTGTCCACTGTTATTCCATAAACTTCTAGCTTAAAGCTTGTCGAAAAGAAGTACACACGTAATATAATTATAGAAATATACAACGAAAAATATGTACTACAGGGCTATTTAACAAATACCAGCCGTACCATTATTTGTGGTTGGATGTGGTTTGTGTAACGGATTGCTATTCCAAAGTTCGCGGGTTCGATTCCCGCTCAAGTCAAACATTTGTGTGCATGAACATTTAATGTTTGATTTGGTCTGGGCGCTTCTTTATATAATAAGTATGTATTTACAAAACAAAAGTATATGTGTATTTTTATCAGTTGTCTAGTAGCCATAGTACAAGCTCTGCTTAGTTTGGGACTAGATGGCGTTGTGTGAATGTGGTAGAATATTATTATTATTATAGCAAGCTAAATTATTACAAATATTTATAAAAACAAGTCACAAATCACTACTTGACATTATAGAAGAATTTGTGTATTTATAGATCTCTGTGTGTATTTATATATGTATTAAATGTGTTAGTATTATTTATGTTGTAAACTTATGTAGTAACTAGCTGAGACCCGCGGTGTTACCCGCGTTTGTTGTTATAACCGCGGGCAACGCTGCGGGGTGAAGCTAGTCTAAAAAAAGGTGCCTAAGTTACTCCTTATGTCATCAGCTATCTGCCAGTGAAAGTCCCGTCGAAATCTGTCCACCCGGAAAACTTGACACAAACCCTATACCAACCCGTCTGGCCAGCGTGGTATAGTAGGCCAAAACCTCCTTACTAAGGAGAGGCCTATGTCCAGCAGTGGACTATTAAAGGCTGTTGATGTGATGTGTGATGATGTTCGAGAGATTACCCGGAACAAGCAGACAGACAAAAATTGTAAAAAATGTTATTTTGCCATATGTACCGTGTAAACATACATATGCATTTAGTAAAAAGCGGTTATTTTAATATTACAAACAGACACCCCATTTTTTTTTGTATAGAGTATAGATTATTTAATTATTCCTTTATAATCCTTTTTAATATATGGTAATACTCGTAGTACATAGCAGGCTACCTTTTTTTTTTGTTTTTTTTCCGTGCGGAAATCCCCTCGGATACCACCTATCGGTGGTATTTTAGTCCTAACCCTTTGCGCGGGTGACTTTACAAACATACACAAAGGACACCCAGACTGAGAACAACAATTTGTGGATCACACAGTGTTGTCCCAAGTGGGGATGAAACCCACAACACCCAGCGCAGTAGGAAGCGGCGATGTGACCGAAGATTATTTGCTACTTTTTAGTTCAGCTAGTTACAAAAGCGTGTTTTTTAAACTATAATTTATTCTGCAAGGCTGTGGTAGCACTACAGACGAGTCTGTCCACTTGTACAGAGCATGGCTGTTAAATTGTGCGGGTCAGCTGGTATTTATATTTATATATATTCAATTCCATAAATATCCTAAATAAACTGTATTGTTTGCTTAGGTACCGTCATATTTATTTTGATATTAGCTGTAAAATGTGTTGTGCTGACAATATTTACTAAGAAATAAAAATGAACGAGTTATTAAATTATACATACTTATTATATAATTTATACACTCGATTCTGCTTTTGCTTTTTTTCGATCTGCTTTTTTTATGTTAGAGGGGTCAGATGAGCAGACGGGTCACCTGATGGAAATTGACCATCGCTGCGAATGAACGTCTGCAACTCAGGAGTCACAAACGCGTTGCCGGCCTTTTAGGAAGGAGTGCGCTCTTTTCTTGAAGGTTTGAAGGTCGTATCGGTACGGAAATACCGCAGACGAAAAAAAAGGTAAGGTATAAATGTTTCCCGTTTTTGCAACAATTTTTTTTAAATTATTTTGATTACACTTCAGCCTATTGCCGTCCACTGCTGAACGAAAGAGCGCGCCAACCATCCCGGTCTTTGGCAGTCCGCATCCATTTTTCTGAAATCATCGGTTCATCGTGCCGCAGGGTGCCCTACACTACGTTTGCCCAATCGCGATCTCCTGTCTAACACATGTCGGCTCCAGCGACCATCAGTCCGTCTGGAGACATGACAGGCCCATTTCAACTTCAGCGTAATGATTTTCTGTGCGATGTCGGTTACTCCAGTTCTCCGCCGAATAGTTTCATTTGAAACTATAACTTTAAACTGCTATTTTGATTAATTACCTACATATTTGGACTTTTAAGACGAGAAACTTTTAAGAATATTTATACAGATGTAATCTTTGTCCGTGTGGTGATGGATCAAGAACACAAAGAGTCAACACCCCTATTCATACCGTGGGTGTCGTAAGAGCCGACTAAGGGAGCAAACTACGCAGGACAACAGCACTGCGAAGGGAAGGAAAGTGAAACAGACTTAAACCAACCCGTCTGGCTAGTGTGGTATAGTAGGGCTAAACCTTCTTTCTATGGAGAGGCCTATGTCTAGCAGTAGACTATTCAAGGCTGTTATGATGTAATATGATGATATTGTGTATTATATTCAGAATTTTTTGAATGCACGATTGTGCTTTGAATATTTAACTTTGTGTGCTGCCTAATGATAACAAATGTTATCAAAGCAATCGGCAAATATACAAATGTATTTAAACTGCTACAACTAAACCGTTTTTATACGTTAAGAAGCTTTGCTGCAAGAATGTTGTCTCTGAAAGGGTTTTCTTTATTAATTTGCATTATTCTCATATCAACAAAATCATGTAAGCTATATTTTTTTCATATTATTACACAGTTTACTTATATTTACCTAATACAGTATTATTCACTTATATCATAGAAGTTTTTGTTATGCTTTCACGCCTAAACCAATAAACCGATTTTAAAAGTTCTTTCGCCAAAGGAAAGCTACGATATCAGCCAGTAATATGGGCACGTTTTTATCGCGATAATTGACGAAAACGAGGGCGGAACCATGGGCAAAAGCTAGGGAGTAATGACTAGCTTGAGCATTTTTGTTTATATTAAATAGTGTTTGTAAATTTCTTTCAGTTACCTGTTTTCGTTAATCTCTATAAAAAAAATAGTTATAAAAAATAATTTAATAGCGTATAAATAAAAACAATGTTTACGTAATGTATGTATGTACTTACCTTTTTTCTGTAAAAGCTAAAAATTCATCCAAATAATATGATATACCTAGTTGTGCCACCTTCAAGATTATAACTTGAAAGAATGTAACCTTTGTAATAAGAACTTAATTTATGGCAAGTTAGTTCATTTGCATGTTTTGGAGTGATACGGAGTCACGATACATTCCGGCCGACAAATCGATGCCAAAAAGAATAATTACAATTTTGGCTTCAGTATTTACAGTGCTTTCTGTAATGTTTGCGGGTTTATAACGAATACACGTACTGAACATTCAAGTATTTAATTCCGACTGCACATACAATAAGATTTGCCCGATTCCCACGTTTATACATACATATAACGGTATCTAATACTTAAATCCGTGTAGTGAAGGAATCCGTGTGGTGTGGTCAGTTATAAGTCTTCATCAACAGCCTTTACTAGTCCACTGCTGGACATAGGCCTCTCCTTAGAAAGGAGCTTTTGGCCTACTATACCACGCTGGCCAGACGGGTTGGTATAGGGTTTGTGTCAAGTTTTCCTTCTCTCTGCAGTGCTGTTGTTCTGCGTAGTTAGCTCCCTTGGTCACCTCTTACGTCACCCACAGGATAAATAGGGGTGGTGACACTCTGTATTCTTAATCCGTTACCACACGGACAGTTTGACAGGAAGTTTGCCTTCCTTATAAATACTATACAATTTCGGCTCCAGCGACCATCACTCCATCTGGAGTAACCAGATGGACTGATGGTTGCTGGAGCCGAAATGTGCTAGAATAGAGACCAGGATTAGGCAAACTTAGTGTAGGGCGCCTTGCGTCACGATAGACCGACGACTTGAAGAAAGTGGCTCACAGCAGATGGATGCGAGCTATCTAAGACTATGCGTTGTGTGATAGGCGGGTCTGTATGTGCCGTGTCTGGGAGTGGTTTGTCAGTGATGGGTGTGATTGGTGTGATTGGAAGTATATGAGTGTGACTGTGTGTCTTGCTGTAGTGATGAATGAGGTTGCTAAAATTGTTTGTAAAATAAGTGTTATTTACTACTATATATGTTTTTAACAACAAATGGCTACACTATTGTATTAGGTACAAAACCTGTAAAAATAGTTGTATTGTGTGTCATATATATAAATAAATAAATAAAAACTAAGGCGAAACCAGTCAGTTCAAGTTTATATAGTGGAATACAAGTACAAATGAGTTTGTTTTTATAATGTATTAGCGCGCGCGCAATTTCATCTGCGTCTATCAAAAGGCTTTTTTTATGTTAGAGGGGGCAGACGAGCAGACGGGTCACCTGATGGAAATTGACCATCGCCGCGAATGAACGTCTGCAACTCAGTCAGATCATCGGAGTCACAAACGCGTTGCCGGCCTTTTTGGAAGGAGTGCGCTCTTTTCTTGAAGGTTTGAAGGTCGTATCGGTACGGAAATACCGCAGACGAAAAAAAAGGTAAGGTATAAATGTTTCCCGTTTTTGCAACAATTTTTTTTTAATAATTTTGATTACACTTCAGCCTATTGCCGTCCACTGCTGAACGAAAGAGCGCCAACCATCCCGGTCTTTGGCAGTCCGCATCCATTTTTCTGAAATCATCGGTTCATCATGCCGCTGGGTGCCCTACACTACGTTTGCCCAATGGCGATCTCCTCTCTAACACATGTCGGCTCCAGCGACCATCAGTCCGTCTGGAGACATGACAGGCGCATTTCCACTTCAGCGTACTGATTCTCTGTGCGATGTCGCTTACTCCAGTTCTCCGCCGAATAGTTTCATTTGAAACTATAACTTTAAACTGCTATTTCGATTAATTACCTACATATTTAGACTTTTAAGACGAGAAACTTTTAAGAATATTTATACAGATGTAATCTTTGTCCGTGTGGTGATGGATCAAGAACACAAAGAGTCAACACTCCTATTCACACCGTAGCTGTTGTAAGAGCCGACTAAGGGAGCAAACTACGCAGGACAACAGCACTGTGAAGGTAAGAAAAGTTTGACTTTTAACCAACCCGTCTGGCTAGTGTGGTATATTAGGGCTAAACCTTCTTTCTATTGAGAGGCATATGTCTAGCAGTAGACTATTCAAGGCTGTTATGATGTAATATGATGATATTGTGTATTATATTCAGAATTTTTTGAATGCACGATTGTGCTTTGAATATTTAACTTTGTGTGCTGCCTAATGATAACAAATGTTATCAAAGCAATCGGCAAATATACAAATGTATTTAAACTGCTATATCTGAACCGTTTTTATACGTTAAGAAGCTTTGCTGCAAGAATGTTGTCTCTGAAAGGGTTTTCTTTATTAATTTGCATTATTCTCATATCAACAAAATCATGTAAGTTCTATTTTTTTCATATTATTACACAGTTTACTTATATTTACCTAATACAGTATTATTCACTTATATCATAGAAGTTTTTGTTATGTTTGCACGCCTAAACCAATAAACCGATTTTAAAAGTTCTTTCGCCAATGGAAAGCTACGATATCAGCCAGTAATATAGGCAAGTTTTTATCGCGATAATTGACGAAGACGCGGGCGGAACCGTGGGCAAAAGCTAGTGAGTAATGACTAGCTTGAGCATTTTTGTTTATATTAAATAGTGTTTGTAAATATCTTTCAGTTACCTGTTTTCGTTAATCTCTATAAAAAAAAATAGTTATAAAAAATAATTTAATAGCGCATAAATAAAAACAATGTTTACGTAACGTATGTATGTACTTACCTTATTTCTGTAAAAGCTAAAAATTCATCCAAATAATATGATATACCTAGTTGTGCCACCTTCAAGATTATAACTTGAAAGAATTTAACCCTTGTAATAAGAACTTAATTTATGGCAAGTTAGTTCATTTACATGTTTTGGAGTGACACGGAGTCACAATACATTCTGACAGACAAATCGATGACAAAAAGAATAATTAAAATTTGGATTTCAGTATTTGCAGTGCTTTAAAAAAAATCCAAAACATGTTTAATTTACAGAATTTGAACATTAATGATATAAACATATCGCAGTCCCCGACGAACACTATGGTAATCGCTATTACGATAGAATCGGGTTTATTAGATATTCGTTATCTACACACCCTATTACAATCATTGATTTTTTTTTATGATCGGGCGATGAATACTTTTGGATTTATCCATTCAATAATGATCTTTATGTTTTTGTTCAACGTATAACATAAGTGAAAAATTTACACGATCAATAACGCAAAAACCTATTACCAAATCTCAAAAGTCAACATTTTAGAGTAAGCGGCTATTACCATATTGTTCGAGGGAAAAATGACAGAATCAGAATCAGAATTTATACATAGGCACCGAAATGGTTATAACACCTAAAAATTATCATCGAATAAGCATGTAATTTATGTTTACCGTAATATTAAAGTCAGTTATATCATCAAATACGATTGCAATGTCATTTTACGAATATAAAGTATATTCATATTTACCATGGAACAATATCATAATGAACGATTACTACAGCAACACCGATTTGTGATTACAGTCGAACACTATCGTAAAGTTAGTTTGCGTTAATTTTTTCCATAGCTTATTTCAGTAATGGACATTTTCACAATTTTCTTACTGATAAAGAAAATTTATGATAAAAATTTAGTAAAAATCTAGTGCAAAAAAATATTTCCTTATTTTTGATAAAAGAATCTTCTTTTTAGTCTTGATAGTATTCAAGATATTCAGTTTTTATTTGCTCCTGTAAAATTGTTATTTTCCTATTACGATTTTGTTCGTCGGGGACTGCGATATAATCTACTAGCTTTCCCCGCAGTTCCTCCCTCGTGTATGGCGGTTATCACGGTAATGAGTAGCCTATGTTACTCGCTGATAATGTAGTTTTCCATTGGTGAAAGAATTTTTTAATCCGTTTAGTAGTTTAGGCGAACAAAAACTCACTTTCACGTTATAAGTATGGAAGTATGAATTCACCACTATTATGACGGCTCATAAGATGGATGTGCCCGCTCTTGGGGTGACGAAGATGTCTGTCGGACTCTTACCGATAACCCGGTATTCCGTTGTATGACAGGCATTGACTCGTTTCAACCAATACGGGTCTCGTCACCCGTCAGCCACACTCCTAAACAGCGCGCGTGGTTCGTTAAACTATTTATCTCTGCATAGTTAAAAAAAACTAAAAAACACGCTTTTTATAGAAAACCAAACTAAAAAATAGAAAATAAATAAAAAAAAAAGCGTTGGGTGCCTGTTGACAATAGTAAAAAGCACCCCACGCTTTTTTTTCAAATTTAATTGAATTTTTTTGTTTGATTTTCTATAAAAAGCGTATTTTTTTAATCCGTTACCACACGGACAGTTTGACAGGAAGTTTGCCTTCCTTATAAATACTATACAATTTCGGCTCCAGCGACCATCACTCCATCTGGAGTAATCAGATGGACTGATGGTTGGTTGCTGGAGCCGAAATGTGCTAGAATAGAGACCAGGATTAGGCAAACTTAGTGTAGGGCGCCTTGCGTCACGATAGACCGACGACTTGAAGAAAGTGGCTCACAGCAGATGGACGCGAGCTATCTAAGACTATGCCGTAGTTGACGCTCCTTGGGGAGGATCTAGTCCAGCATTGGAAGGTGATAGGCTGATGATCATGTTACTTATAAACAAAAAAATATAAACTGAAGTGACATCCTTATTTTTTAAAGAACAGACTCAAAGGATTGTTTTTATTTATATACAGTTATAAACACGTGTGTGAGTTTCTACGTTTGTAACTTTGGCCAAACTGTTCATCATGAATTATCTGGTACAACATTTGTTTCAGATTTAGTACAGGGCAAGTACGTATTTTGGCCCACGATACAGCGTAGCATCGCCCAGTACAAAGTGATCTCGACTTGGGACTATGCCAAGTACCATTGTGACAATCAAGGTAACAATTAAAGATGACGAGTTCTGAAGCAGCTATGCCTTTTACATCGAATAGCTTTTTACGGTTCCGTAGGCAAAATGGCTAGAACGAAAACCTTTTAATTTCGTCATGTCCGTTCGTCCGTCTGCCTACACTATATCTCACAGACATTAGTGCTAGAAACCTGTAATTTCGCATGTACATATATACTAATCACGCCGATAAAACTGTTACCTTTAAATTACCTCTAGTACCTTTAAAGTGGGGATGTTATTTTTTATATTCACCCATCCCATGACGTAGGGTGTCAATGCATACGTTCATCATCATCATCATCAACAGCCTTTAACAGCCCACTGCTGGCCAAAGGCCTCTCCTTAGCAAGGAGGTTTTGGCCTACTATACCACGCTGGCCAGACGGGTTGGTATAGGGTTTGTGTCAAGTTTTCCTTCTCTCTGCAGTGCTGTTGTCCTGCGTATTTCGTTCCCTTAGTCGCCTCGTACGACACTTAGGTATTTTAAAAATAATAACGGTTTTCAAACACAATATTTTGATTAAGGTATCCGTTCGTGAGATATTAATCCTTAAAGCGCTGATTTTTGTAACAGCTCAGTGTTCTCCCTTCCTCCCATCCTAGCCAAACGGCAGTATTTGGAGATCTGTAAAATTCACGAGTAATAGTCGACTAATTCGACTGCACGGATGGCGTAGTGGTTTGAGCGGTCGCCACGCCGCTTTCTACTACGCCGAGTGTTGTGGGTTCAAACCCCACATGGGACGACACTTTGTGTGATCCACAAATTGTTGTTCTGAGTCTGGGTGTCCTTTGTGTCCGTTTCATGTATGTTTGTAAAGTCCCCCGCGACACAGGATTTATTCCTAATGCGGGCGTTGTCTTCTAAAAAAAAAAAGAAAAAAAAAGAAAAAAAAAAGAAAAAGAATTCGCTGCAACCGTAAATGTGAAATGTTTATAATATAACATAACAAAACGTCCTTGACTTATTTAAATTTTAGTTATGTCTCTTTTATATTGGAATATATATAGTGTATGATACCTTTATTAAAAAATCCGGTCAGGTATCAGTCGAACTCGTGCGCCGAGGGTTTCGTACCTACCCAGATTTTACGTAGATTTTCGCGAAAATTTGTAAGTACCAAAATTAATCTTAATTTTCAACTTTTTTTTATTTTTTGGAATTATTCCTTTATTTGTGCTGTAAGACGTTTCTTTTCGCCAAATTCCGTGATTCTAGGTCAACGGGAACTACCATATAGGTTTTCGACCCAAAACCTATAGAGTACTTCCGGTTGACCTAGAATTGTCAATTTTAGTTAAAAGCAAGGTCTTACAGCACAAGTAAAGGGAAAATTCTAAAAAATAAAAAAAGTTGAAAATTAAGGGAAATTTAGGTACTTACAAGTTTTCGCGAAAATCGAAATCTGCCCATATCTTTTTATCGTGTTGACTCAGGACCTTGATTTTTATACACCTAATAGGGTCCATAAACCTCAGTATCTGGTACAAATTTCAACTTGCTAGGTTTACCCGTTCCTGAGAAAATCGGTGGTGACACACGGAAAGACGGACAGACAGACAGACGGACAAGAAAGTAATCTTATAAGGATTCCTTTTTTACCTTTTGAGGTACGGAACCCTAAAAATAAATTCAACATATTCAATAATATGTAAAATTAAATATATGATATGATTGAATGACTGCCTCTGTATTCTAGTAGTTAGCGTATGCTTAAGAAGTAAACAATGTGAAGATAGCAGTATTTTATAGATCATGCAAATGCCCTAACGGTATCGTAGTAGGTTTTATCAGTAATGTGTTATACGATGACAGTCACGACAGCCCACGCATAAGGCCCGGTATCCACCAAAGCAGAGAGGAGACCACACGAGAGGAGGTGTGCTGCGAAGCTGGCAGGTTATTTCTACCTAAGCGAAGAGAGGAGATGCGTAGTGGAGAGCGGAGCGAGAAGTGAGCTGTGTGTAGCAGAGATGTAAGCTGTGAGAGCTCGAAACCAGTCAAATACTGTACTGTACTGTCAAGTCCAGTCAGTCAAGTTACTGTAGCTATGAAAGGACTACGTCATGTCGTTACGGTAGTTATATCTTAATTTGTTTGAGAATGAGAAATTAGAGGTTGAAGGAATGGTAATCGTATACCTTCAACCTTAAACCTAACAATTCAATATTTAAATTATCGACTGCAACATAGATACTGGATAAGAAACCATATAAAATGTCAGTCATGGCGAATTAGCCACACTATTGCAAGAGTTTGCTGGTAGAAGGCAGCGGGGAATGGAGCGCGCGAGCGCCGGCGTCTACCCGGCCGCCAACTACACACATCTCCGCTCTGCCGTGCATAGAAAATTAGACATCTCCTCTCCTCTCCGCTTGATCCATTTCCACCGTAGCTAAGCGGGGAGGTAATGTGATAATGTGATTTCTGAGGAAGGTGTAGGTCTATAAATTTATGGTGGTTTTACGTAAATTGACTGAAATATAACGATTATTGATGAAGAGGTCGCAAAAAATCTTATGCTATATAAACCGGGCGAAAAAAGGATCACGGTTACCGAAATCCACGCGGGCGAAGATGTGGGTGGAACCTACTTTATTAATAATACTGAATAATATGAACAAAAGAAGCTAAAGGTCGATCTTAAATATTGCCTCTTTCACCACAGGTGCGATGTTGGCATCCCCTATAGACGCAGGCCTCGTCAAGCAAATGAAGAAGATCATCGGCGTGAATAATTACACTACACCATACTTCATAGGCATCAAGGCGGGACGTGATGGAGAATTTGTCTCTGAAGAAGGTATTTATTTCATTTGAAACACCTTCTAACAGTTGGAGAGTAATGTTCTGTACAAGTGGAAAGACACGTCAGGAGTGCTAGTACAGCCTTCCAGAATACATTATAGTTTAAAAACACAACCTTTTGTAACTAGCCGAACTAAAAGGTAGAAAATCATCTGCAACTTTTGACTGCACGGATGGCGTTTAAGCGCTGAGTGTTGAGGGTGCGATCCCGACATGGGACACAACTTTGTGTGATCAACAAATTATTGTTCTGAGTCTGGGTATTCTTTGTGTCGGTTTCATGTATGTTTATGGGGTGCTATATCTCAATCGCGAAAATATTTTATTGATAGATATTGGTGAATGTAAAATTATTATGTAATAAAATATCTTGAAGCATCCCACGCTTTTTTACGATAAAATGATTTTTCTTTTTGAACTTATAGAATTATTTTCTATAGCGTGGCGTGTTTTTTTTCTGGTCTTTTAAAAGGCTAACAGCTTTCCACCCAGAAAATCACACATGACGGAGGAAGGGGGGGGATAGGGTGGTACTCAAAGGCCTGCAAATTTCTTGTTTCTTTGAGTTGCGGGAGTTGCACGGATTAATATACACTTTTGATGTTTTAGGTATTTTACTTGAAGACATAGCTGAGGCAGCAATATACATGATTGACCAAATAGACCCTCGACTTGGTGACTGTTTGTGTATGGACAAGCACAGTATAAGGGTGGTGTCGTGTTTGTCTCGACTGCCTTACATGTGCTACAAGAACGCAACGGCTGTTTCGAAGAATGCACTCTCGACTGGTGCATCAACCGCTGCCGTAACCCAAACCTCGACAACCGTACCTAGCCATTTGTCAAGTGTACAAATTTATTCAAGTAAACCCTTAGGGAATTGTAGTGAAGGTAAGTATCATCATCATCCTACCTATTTTCCACTTGTGCTGCTCCATCAGCGCGAAGATAACCGTAAAAGAGATATTTTTAATCACAAATGTGTCAGTTCGACCGGAGTGATTTCAGGGTCTCATGGAAAATTGATGTTAAGTAATTCATCGCGTGTACAAGGTTCTCGGAGTCCAAACCCCTGCTCTTCCTGATACAGAGGAGGAGGGGGCACTTGTGACTCTTCAGTTGCAGATGTTCTATTAGTGCTATTAGATAAAAAAATAGTTAAATCGGTTCAGTCGTTTTTAAGTGTTCCACATATTAACGAACAGCTTTTTAATTTCTGTGTCGCAAGATTAAATGACTTGATTTGGAATATTAAGTGAAAATTTTTGATTGTCTTGATGCGTCTCGGCAAACGTGGTGTAGGACGCCCTGGCTGGTGGAATAACGATTTGCGCAAGATGGCTGGCAGGAGCTGGATGGGAAGCCCAAAATCGATCTTAATGGATGGGAGAGGCCTATATCCAAAAGTGGACTGCGATAGGTTGATGATGATGATATGATTTGTTCTGTGCCTGGGTTTGATTTATCTATGAAATGTATCAGTTAATCAAATATCTAGTAACCGTGGTCCAGGCTCTGCTAAGTTCAGGATCAGACGGCGTGTGAAATTATTATTATTATGAACACAAATTTATCTTTTAACAGATTATCGTTCAGAATATCTATTTTACGACAACAGACGTTGTTACAAGCTGCACAAATATCAGATGGGAACATGGTACCAAGCTAACCAAACTTGCAACGACGAAGGAGGGTACCTGGCTGTCATCAATGACAGTGCTGAGGCGAGGCTCATTAAGGACATCTGCTTTTCCGATAATAACCCCGAATTTGTTTGGATTGGACTTCATGACATGACTGGAAACAGAGACTGGGAAAGTGTCCTCGGTAAGCTTATGGGGACTAGCGTTGGGCGTTGAACGAATTTATCTTTACTATAGCAATGGGACTATGAACAGACTAGTTTATAATAAGTTTTTAAAGTATGGTGGAGGGGGCGACCGATCAGATGGATTAACTTATAGCAAGTTCGTTCCATTCCATTTCATTCGTCCGTGTGGTGACGGATTAAGAATACAAATTGTCATAACCCCAATTCATTCCGTGGGAGCAAACTAAGCAGGACAACAGCACTGCAAAGAGAAGGAAAACTTGAAACAAACCCTATACCAACCCGTCTGGCCAGCATGGTATAGTAGGCCAAAACCTCCTTTCTAAGGAGAGGCCTATGTCTAGCAGTGGACTAGTATAGGCTGTTGATGATGTTGATGAAGTTCGTTCCGTGCTCATGACCGGCTCATAATTTTAAATATGGCCTTTTTTTCAGGTGATAACTTGCATACAGTATATAACACTGGTGATTTAAAAAACAGTAAATTTGACTGCGGTGCCATGAAGTATGTCGGTCGGTGCATGATATACGATGTGATGATCAGAAGAGTTTTATTTGCGAGAAACCATTTGGAAAATAACTATATTTTAGGACCTAATTTTGTCTTGGTATTTTTACAATATGGTGTCAGAGCGCAATAAAATTTTTTTTTAAAGGTAGTTGATAGTTTTGATTTTATATCGTTCTAGCTGACCCAGCAAACGTTGTTTTGCCATATTCATAAAATAAAAATACAAAAATTGACGAAAAAATAAATTTAGGGGTGGGTTAACCTTGTCTTTTAGAGGTATGAAAAATAGATGTTTGCCGATTCTCAGATCTACCCGATGAGCACACGAAATTTCTTAAAAATCGGTCTAGCCGTTTCGGAGCAGTATGGTAACTAACATTGTGACACGATAATTTTATATATAAGATTATATTTTTAACACCAACGGTTATGAAATACAAACCCAAGAAAATACAATTGACTGTAAGTACACGTAAATTAAAGTCCGTGTGGTGACGGATAAAGAATACAGAGTGTCACCACCCCTATTCATCCCGTGGGTGTCGTAAGAGGCGACTAAGGGAGAAAACTACGCAGGACAACAACACTGCAGAGAGAAGCAAAACTTGAAACAAACCCTATACCAACCCGTCTGGCCAGCGTGGTATAGTTGGCCAAAACCTCCTTTTTAAGGGGAGGCCTATGTCCAGCAGTGGACTGTTAAAGGCTGTTGATGATGATGACACGTAAATTTATTCAATTGCGCTACTAATCGGTAAACTGAAAGCAGTTCCAGCTGTCCGCATGTTTATTGACACAAGATTGTACGCCTATTCAAGCGTGTTATAGTTACACTTATATATACTTATAATAAAAAAGTAGAAAAGTGTATGTACATTGAACATTTTTAGATATTTTTACTCAGAAAAATCCATCATCATCATCAACAGCCTTTAACAGTCCACTGCTTGACATAGGGATGTCCTTAGAAAGGAGGTTTTGGCCTACTTTACCACGCTGGCCAGACGGGTTGGTATAGGGTTTGTTTCAGAAGGAGGCGGCGGAGAAGGCCCGGGAGGACGACCTCCACTCGGACCCGATCCGCCGCCGGCGAACCGGGCGGCGGAGGCGCGCCTATCACCGCCTCATGCCGCCCTGAGTGTGGCCGCGGGTGGACGGGGTGGGTTTCCCCTCCAAACTAATGCGGGTTCATTAGTTTGGCCAGCCGCGAGGGGGCGGCGTCCGCGTGTGCCGGACGTCGCCTAAAGAGAGGTTAAAATTTTGAGACGGAGCCCGCACCAGGAGCGGGCAGGCGCTAGGAGGGGTCCGGATGTCTTAATAACAGCTGTTCCCGGATCCCTCCTATTACAGGCGCAGAGTGGCACACCGTGTGGTTTCAGTCGGTCCGAGTCCGACACACCACCCCGCCGCAAACCCCGGTGGGGTGAAAGGGTTTGTTTCAAGTTTTCCTTCTCTTTGCAGTGCTGTTGTCATGCGTAGTGGTTAGGAATCTTCTAAGCGGGTTCCAGAAATTAAGCACAAGTCACTTGACATTTATATAATGTTATAATAAAAATTCAATTACAAAATTGACAATGGTGTGCGTTATGAGTGACAACGTGCGTCGTGTGCGCTGTCCGGCGGACGAGCGAGCGGGGCCGCGGGCTGCGTGGGGAGGCGACGCGATGACGTTCCGATGCGCGTTCTTAACGTGCGTTAACAGGCTCCCCGGGTTGGAACGTTTAGTTCCAAGATGTAGGTAATAAGCAGAGCCTATTGTATGCTCTCCTCAAAACTCCAGACGCTGTGGTGACGTCGGCGACGCGGGTGATGCCATCGCGGCCGGGATGCACGCGGGAAATACGTCCGAGTAACCAGCGATTGGGTGGAAGCCGATTGTCTTTGACTACCACCAAATCTCCAACGCGCAACTCTTCTTCACTGTTGCGCTTCCATTTGTTCCTTCTCTGCAAATCTGAAATGTACTCCAAATAATAACGGTTCCAGAAGTGTTGAGTTAGAACTTGTGCCCTCTTATATCTCGGCAGAGTGGAAATTCTGGCCGTCTCCTCCACATCAACCTGAGAAGTAGGCAGCATTGTAAGTGTACGTCCTATAAGGAAGTGAGATGGGGTCAATGGGATAAGATCATTTGGGTCGGATGAAAGAGGGGTTAATGGTCGTGAGTTTAAGATGCCTTCGATACATACGAGTGTAGTGTTCATCTCCTCATATGTTAGATTGGCCTGTGAGAGGACTCTCTTTAAGTGATGCTTTACGGATTTTACAGAGCTTTCAGCTACACCATTGTAATGTGGACTATAGGCGGGGGAGAATTTAAAATGAATAGATTGCTCCGCCGCCTTCAAACTAATGTCACCACATCTTGATTTCAAAAATTTGGAAAGCTCTTTACTAGCCCCTATGAAATTAGTGCCATTATCAGAATATATACTGGCAGGCTTACCTCTGCGAGCCACGAACCTGTTTAGAGCAGCCAAGAACGCCTCAGTACTGAGGTCTGTCACCAATTCTAAGTGCACTGCCCTTACAGCGAGGCAGACAAATACACAAATGTATGATTTTATTAATTGACAGCCTCTACCTTTTCTGTTCACTATTAGAATAGGGCCCGCATAATCTACTGCTGTGTTAAGAAAGGGAAAGTCAGTGTGAACTCGTTCTATCGGTAGGTTGGCCATAATTGGTTGTATAGATTTCCCGGCGAACCTACAACATTTATGACACTCGTGTGTTATTTTTCTAGCTAGATTACGACCTCCTAATATCCAGAATTTGTGCCTCAAAATGGATAACATTAATTGGGGACCTGCATGAAGTATTGTATGATAATGCTTAACTAGTAACTTAGTGATATAATGTGACGCGTGTAGCAAGACGGGATGTTTTGTATCATAATTATAATTGGAATTAGATAATCTGCCACCGACACGAATTAATTTCTCATTGGAAATAAAAGGATTTAAGTTTAAAATTTTTGATTTACTTGGCAATGATTTATTCTTACACAACGAGGTGAGCTCCTCCTGAAAGTTATCCAACTGTACCATCCTACATAAGGTATATGTTGCAGAGCTCAACTCAGATACCTTCAAGTGATCAGTGAATTTGTACACAGGTTTTTGACAGTTATGAATAAATCTCAAAATGTAAGCTGTAACTCGATTTAGTTTGGAAAAGTTAGAATATTTTAAAATGTAATTATTATTGTTGTTTACTGTAGCAAGCTTACATTCAGCCTTAGTCTCGGGCAAAGAAAGAGGCACATAATTGGGTTGAGTGGGCCATTGAGACTCTGGTTGCATCAAAAATGATGGACCAGAGAACCACAAAACTGAGTTTTTTAGTTGGGTTGCGGTGCAGCCTCTAGACCCTATGTCAGCTGGGTTTAAATTAGTAGGTACATACCTCCATGTTTGGGGGTCGGTGTATTCAGTTATTTCATTAATTCTATTAAGTACAAATGCCTTTAGTGTGGACCTAGGAGCCTTAATCCACCCGAGGACGATTGTGGAGTCACACCATGAAACACAACGAGTGACCTTTAATCTTGATGCCCCTTTCACCTTTTCTGACAGTCTGACTGCCAATAGCGCGCCAGAAAGTTCTAACCGGGGTACAGTCATGCCTTTTAGGGGTGCCACCTTGCTTTTGGCCATAACAAGTTGCACGTTAATACTGCCATCTGTGGACATGGACCTTAAATAAATGCATGCGCTATATGCGTGTAAAGATGCATCACTGAAGGCATGAATCTCAACTAATATAGGTGAATCACAAACTGTACGGCGTGGAATAGTGATTTCATTAAATTGTGGGAGAGATTCTAAAAATATTAACCAGTCTCTTTCTATCTCTGGAGGTAATGCATCATCCCATGAAATTTTAGAAGACCAAAGCCTTTGTAAAATAATTTTACCTTGTAGTATACAAGGATTAATTAAACCTAAAGGATCGAACACCTGTCCTATTGTTGACAAAATTGAACGTTTAGTGATCCTATTTGTTAATGATTTATCAAGGTTAACTGAAAATAGCAATGTGTCACATTTGCAAGACCACCTCAAGCCTAATGTTGTTGCGTCATCGTCGTTAACTAATTTAAGTAAATTGTCACCATCTCCATCTCCTTCAATATTCGCCAATATGTCGGGGCAATTAGAGCGCCATTTCCGTAAATGAAATTGTCCTTTCTTAAGCTGAGAGATGACACCGTGAATAATATGTACAAGGGTTGATTTTGATTCATGCCCACTTATATAATCATCCACATAAAAATCATGTATTATCGTTTCACGTACTACGGGATCAATACATTCTTGGCCCAATTGCACAAGGCAACGTGTGGCTAAATATGGGGCTGAAGCTGTCCCATAAGTCACAGTGTTGAGTTTATACTGCTTCAGTTCTTGAGTGGGATCAAAACGCCAAAGTATCTGTTGCAAACATCTTTGATGGTTTGCAATGAGAACACAGCGATACATTTTTTCACAATCTGAGGTCACGACATACTTGTGCTGTCGGAATCTAATTAAGATACTAATTAGGTCGTCCTGTACAGTCGGTCCTATATTTTGAATGTTGTTAAAGGATAAACCAGACGTGCTTTTTGCCGAAGCGTCGAATACCACTCTTAGCTTTGTTGTAAGACTGGATTCCTTTAATACACCATGGTGAGGTAATATGTATGTATGTTTATCGTTATTGCTGTTCGTATTTAATGACATGTGACCGAGATTAATGTATTCCTGAATGAAATCGCAATATTTCCTTTTAAGTAAGGGGTAACGTGCCAATTTTCTCTCTAATGATTGAAATCTAGTAAACGCCTGATCATAGGATCCACCTAAAACATCTGGCGATTGTTTTAAAGGGATTTCTACAATAAATCGACCGTCACATTGTCGTGTCATTGTATTGGCGAAGTGAAGCTCGCAATCGTTTTCTTCTTTAGTGGTTTTACGGGGTGATGGTATAGATTCTAATTCAAAAAATCTGTCTAATTTCCTTTGCAGATGAATATCATGTGAAAAATAGCAATGGACTGTATTATTTAATTGGTTTGCTTTCATCCTTTGTGAATGCATCGAACCTGACACCAACCAACCAAATTTAGTACTTACAAGAACT